ACACACACACACACACACACATATACATATGTTACAGTTTTTTTTTTTGATTGTTATATGACATTAAAAAGTTCTAAATAATTGCTACTCAGTATCATTTTAGGGAAAAAACAAAGTTTTTTGAACTGACCGTTCCATTACTAAAATGTTTTTCAGGGAATAATAAATTCCTCATGTTTACGGTCTCCATTTTTATAGTGCTTTCAGTGTGTTCAGTGACATTTGTTTGTTGCACTTCACAAGTTTCTTGAGCTCTTTCATTCGCGTATGGATGAATCCTGGAGTCGCTGGGATCTGTTGGTCCTCTGTAGAGCCCCGACTGCCTGAGTTCAGGTGAGCAGAACAATAAGCTTGACAAGAGATTTCTGTACTTCCCTCTGACAATATACAGCGCCGGGTTCATGCAGCAGTGAGAAAACGCCAGAATCCTGCAGACGATAAATGCAACATGCAGCCGATAATGTTCGCAGGCATCAAAGTCATAGATGGACATCAACACGATGATGATATGATAGGGCCCCCAGCATATGAAGAAAGCAATAACAATGCACAGCACCAGTATCACAGTCCTGTATTTCTGCCTGGTCGATGTTGACATGAGGGTCAAAATAATTTTGGTGTAACAGAAAACAATGATGGCAAACGGTACAAGAAACAGCAGAATGAGCTGAGCGTAATATCCAACATTGTCATCAACTGTATTGACGCTTTGACACGAGTATGTGTTGATATGTATGTCTTGTGCCTTTGCGGCTATTGAATCTCTCAGACAAGCAATCAAACTTATAATCCAGGCGCCAATGCAGGCGGCCTTTGAACATTTGAGCCTTCGACTCCGTGTTAACCAGTAACTTCTGACCACAACCACAACAAAACGGTCGAGGGTCATAGCCGTGAGAAGGATGAGGCTTCCGTAGATGCCTACAAAATAGGCCCCGGTCATGATCTTACAGGCAACATCTCCAAAAACCCAGTGATGAAGAAACTCCACGGACCAGAAAGGCAACGTCAGTGTGAACAGAAGGTCGAAAAGAGCCAAACAGAACATGAAAAGGTTGGTAGCCCTTTTCAGGTCTTCGTAGCAGGTGAGCGCACACACGAGGAAGCCATTTCCAAGGATGCTGAGGCAGAAGATTATGGCGTAGCACACGCCGGTGGTCATTTTATAGTTGTCGACCTCACACATTGAGATTAGCTCGTCATCATACTCATATGAGTCATTCTCATAATGGCTGATGTTTGAGTTGAATGCCTCCATCTAGCATAAAAATAAAGGCATTTTACCACAATGCAATTTCTGACACTTGCATGATGTAGAAAATTTCAAAGCAAGCAATCACAGTCAAAAGCTATGCAACTGTTGCATCTTACATCTTCGGTAGTATACAGTATAGTAAGAAGAATGAAAGAACATGAAATGCATACCTCAAGGTCTTGGTTGACTGGGTTGTATAACTGCTTAAGGAAAATAGTCTACGTGACAATAGAAATCACACTTCTGTTAGTGTTGTCATTTCCTTTTGCTAATGCATGCAGTTTCACAATGAATAAACCGAGAGTGGCTTGGCATTGTAGCATGTGTTTTCTGAGAAGTTTAAAAACCTTTTGGTTAGCTGCCAAATATATTTATATTTGTATATTTATTGAGAATTTGAGTGATTCCAGGTCCTTAATGATTCTCAATAAAATTTTTTTGGGAAATGCAATTGCATTAGGCCTACTTCTTTTTCCATTTCAATAAAATATGAATTTTAAACAGTTCTTGCAAAAGTACAGACTTTTAATTACTTTTCGGTCTTTTTAGAGGCAAGGATACAGTAAAAACAATCCAATTACAGGCCTTCGTTTTGTTCTCGATATTACACAACAATACTAAACACATAAAAGTGAAAATGTATTAAATTCATTCATGTTTTAAAAATGCTATCGATAAAATGCATACTGAACACATTGTCATATGAAGAACATCTACAACTCGATCATCTACATTTGAAAAGAATGTGTTTGATTCACTGAAAAAGAGGTGGTTCATAACAGTACATTAAAATAAGTCACTTGAGCAAACTTTACTCTCATCTTGAGTTCTTTCCAGACCATTTGATGAACCAAAAACACATACCAGAAGATCACACTGAATCAGCCAACCACATATTACTAAAGTGCCAAAGCTGTGGTGAACTGATCCATAGAACAGCTGCAAGTATGAGAAATTAGCAGAAATGCTGATTTTTTTGTTGACTCATCAAAGTATTGACAGAACCAAAGCCCAGGAACATGCGTCAGTGAAAAGTTCATGCACATGTTTTAAAAGAATTCAAGTCGCCAAGTCTGTAAGTATATCAGTTAATGATCTTTGGCTAATTTGATTAGTGATTATTTAATTATAAACAATTATTATTATGTAAAAAATCTCAGTGGAAAAATATTTCACTTTTAGTAGCAGATAATGTGAGATGCGCAGATGCAAAGATGTTTTGTTGATCAAAGTTGCTTGCAGGAAACACTCATAGAAACATCAAGGAGACCATAAGAGCAGAGCAAACATGCAGGCATTTTTCATTGCATTTATCTAGTTACAAAACAGAACTCACACTATACTGGCATCATTTTAAGATTAGGGTTGGTTTATTAGGTATCCTGACAGATGTTTCCTGATTAGGTTTTTTTTTCTGCTTGCATATTTCAAATTCTCAAAAAAAAAAAGGGGAACGAAACTGTCTGCAGTTGAGCCCATCCAAGTGCACACACACAGTAGTGAACACACACACCATGAACACACACCCGGAGCAGTGGGCAACGGTACCCTTTCAAAAGGTACTAATATGAACAATTTAGACAATAATAGGTACTTTTAAAAGTGAAAGCATTGTGTCTTATTTCTGAGAGTGAACAAAGTTGGAGGAAAAGGCTTAGAAAGGAGAAGTTGAGACCCCTGATCACAGATCACAGAACTACTGTTTATCAGGAAACCGCCAGCAATGTGGTTGGGTGCAATTTCTTTTTATTGTTTGTGACTCAAAGGTTACATTAATGACAGAAGTTAGGTCTAGTTTTGCAGTGAAATAAATGCACATGTTTTCTAAAACATTCATTTAGTAATAAAGGATAAACAATAACGATTCACTCGGTTTAAATTTCACACATAAACTGCTAGAAAATGTCAAATTTCATATACACACACACACACACACACACACACACAAACACACACACACACACACAGATATATATATATATATATATATATATTGTTAAACATTGCATATGCTATGCAATTTCATTTTACATTTATATAAAAAAATTGTTATTAAAGCTGTTAATCTAAAATCAATGAATCCAATTGGAAAAATGCTAATAATGTTAAAAGCATGCATAACAAGCCATTATGTTGTTTAAAGTTAACAAATGCAGTAAAGAGCTAACATGTTCTGTATATAAACACCAATTTATTTGTTCATCATTTGTAGCATCAATTATGAATGTATAAAAGAAAGCAAATATATAATGCAAATAATTTTAACAGAGTAAATGTATATAACAGGGGTCTTCAATTAAAGTTGCAAGAGGTCTTGTCTCAATATTTCCTTTCCAGTGGACACCAGTAATGCAGTCAAAAATAGTCAGGATGTTGGGTCCTCCAGAGCTACAGGCCAGTAGCTTCTGAGAATTTTTCTATTAAAAATAAATAAATTAATCAGATAAGCCTAATATGAATATTAAAATATAAGATCAGATGTTTAACCAAGCTATTATTATGTTTTATGTTTAGATACTGTACATATGTAAGGCAAAAGGCCATGTGACAGAAAAGATACTCAGAGTTCAGAGTTTTCCTCTTGAAGTCTGGACCATTTTTATATTTTGCTTTAAAACAAGCATAATCAAAATGCTCTCATCATGTGCAGAAAACAGTTAACCAGTAATTTCAATGTTTATGATGTCTTTCCTTGCCATCTACATCATTTTCCCAATTTCAATAATTATATGCTTATTTTAAAATGCTCTTAACATACTGATTAATAATGCTAAATGTAGATGTCACTTTTTGAACGGTCAGAGTCATATACGTATGTATGATAGGTAAAAATAACTATATTTGCAGCATTGTTGTTTTCTGCAGTGCTTTAGCAAAAGTATCGATCTATTTTGCTGCTCACTGTGTTTCTGCTTCTGTTAATGGCGCTTTAGTGTCTTTATAGAGAAGCAATGCACATGGGAAGGGCTTGAATGAATCACATTTGGCTCTGGGTAAAAAAAATTTGAGGATATAACAGTGAAAGTTCATTGCAATTAATGGCCCTGAGACCTGGTGGTGTAAACCACTCCGTTGTTTTGAAGCACTGCTCACTTCATTTAGAAATGGTAAAATGGTGCTGCATGCTGTTGCCATTATGTCTTGCGGTCCGGTTTGGAACAAAGCTGAGCCTGCCATTTGAATATGCCTGGTATGTAACAACTTGCATCACAGATTTTTAGAGCTTTTTTCATGCAATTTCAGTAATCTAATCAGTTTATTGTACAGACACTTTAAATTGCATTCATTTTGTTGCTGAAAATCAGTACATGCATTGTTCAAACCCATTGAGAGTTTAGGCATGGAAAGCTAATACATAGATATTTCTTCACCATTGGAGTAAATAAGCCTGCTGTGTCGATTCTGAGGCTCTGTGTTGTTCTTACAGAAAGTCCGTAAAATTTTCTTCAAGTGGTTTCTGAATTTTATCCCCATAAAAACATAAAACACAGGATTCAGGCAGCAGTGTGAGAAAGCCACCATCTGAGAGATGTACATCCAATAGTCTATAGATTTACTCAGCTTACAATCACTAAAAGGAGAGATTTCCCATGCAATCAGAGAGTCCAGAAATATGGCCATGTTGTATGGCCCCCATCCCAAGAAAAAAAACACCACTATGAAGAGGATGAGCTGCACTGTCTTTCTACGAGTGTGAGATGTTGGTCGAAGCAGCCGTCCCAAGATCACAGTGTAGCAAAAAGCAATGATCACAAAAGCGATAATGAAAAAATAATTTTGCATGTATGTATTCATGAGTTTCCAATTAATTTTATCATCAAAAGCACAGAGCAGGAATACATTGGTGCCGTTGTTTTGGCTCTCCATGAATGCATCAAATTGGTCGGATACAACCGTGTTGAACCTGGCTTGTGGGATGGCAGCACAGAGACTGATGATCCAGATGGCAATTGATGTCGCGTAGCAGTGCAGGCTCTTCCTAGACATGACCACCGACATGGGATGAACCACGGCCATGTAGCGGTGGACTGTCAGAACCGTCAGGAAGATGATGCTGCTGTAATATCCCGTGTAGAACACAAAGTTAACTGCTTTGCAAGCAGGATCTCCAAGGGTCCAGCCATACATGTAATAGTAGGCCCAGAAGGGCAGGCCAAAGGTGAAAATCAGATCAGAGAGAGCCAGATTTAACAGAAATGTGTTGGTGAGGGATTTCAGATTTTCAAACTTCACAAGGACCCACAAAACCAATGTGTTTCCCACACAGCTGAACAGAACGACAATGAGGAAAATGACTGGGGTGACGGCTTTCCCAAACTGGATAACATTGGTCTTGATACAGATGTCATCTTCAAAACTTTCATTGTAATCAGAATAGTCAAAAATGTCAGATATTTCATACAGATTTTCAGACATTGATTGGACTGTCATCTTGATGCGTACATGTACACTGAAAAAAGAATTGGGGACAATTTCACTCAGAAATTCCTAATACGTTTCACATATGATTGAAAAACCCCCCCCAGCATCTATCTGATCTTAATAACTCAAATATTAAATATTAACCAACTGGAGAAATAATCAGTGATTGCATTGATAATTATTGCACATATTTTCCCACATGCACTTCAGAAATACTGAGAGCATAACATTAATGCAAATCTAACATTTCTTATATTATACAAAAACATAATATCTCAGTGGAATTCATAATCTGTTTTCTGCATGCTGAGTCATCACTTACCTTTATGAAATTCTCCAGAGAATATGTTAATGGTTGATTGCAGACTAAATGAGTGTTCAATCTAAAAACTATGAAACTTTCTAGATGATTGTTCCTATTAGAGTATCAGTACAACCCACCAATAAATGATGCTCAGATCCCCCATCCTCAAAATCAAAACCAATAAGCCCATGTCCTATTTTCGGTTCCGTTATAGCATACATTCATTTGCAAGGTCTAGTCAAAAAGGACTTGAATCAAGAAAGATGAATAAAAATCACATTGAGTTGGCTTAGCCTATTAAATATGGATTGGGATAAATGTATTAAAATAAAACTTAATATCTCTTTTTGAAAGCACCTGCTTCATAAAATGACTCTAGAAGCAATTGATAAAACTAATTGTTGATGGTTATTGGTTTTGATCTTTTTTTAGTTATACAGTAACACTTAGCACATGTTAAATCATAACATATATATGTGAACACCTGAAATGTGTTTGTGTTAGTGGTGATGCTGCACTTGTTATTGATCATCACATGACACTACTTGTTTATTTACTGCGGTTTTTATTATTATCGCGCAACCAAACTTGGTGCGCTACGAAAGCACTTGCTATTTCGTTTTCGCCTCTGATTGGATTAGCTTGTTGTCAGTCAATCTTAGTACCGCCCCCATGTAATGGCAGCTTGTTGTATCCACTGTAAACAATCGATGAGGAAGATCGTCTTTCTGTATGAAGTATGTCTTTATTTACATCTATTTATCATTATTTAAATATGTTTATCAAATATACATTTATTTATACTGACGATAGTTTGACGGTTCTGACAGAAATGTGACTAAAGCACTAAACGCTAAAGTTGCAAAGCTCAGCAGGTGCCTACCTAGTCTCATTTAAATATTTAAATATATAAAAATATGATTTCTAAATTTAGTCTGTAATGATGGTAATCATAATATATTTTTAAGGAATTGTGAATTTTGGGCAGTGAATTTCCCTACGTTTAAAAACAAAAGTAAAACTCTGTACATCAAGATTACACTAGTACTTTATTATTTTTATTTATTTATTTAATGATACAAATAAGTTCAGAATTAAGATGGTAAAAATATGGGATGTTTTATTTTGTCACATTGTTATACCATCATAAACTGTTTGAGGTTTACTGTTTTATTGTTGTCTTTATTATTTGAGTACCCTCCCTTTTTAATTTAATGCTTTGTTTTTACAGGCATAATGTTGACTTTATGAACCATCTACACTAACAAATTCAGCCTACCATGAGTACAGTGGGTGAAAATCAGCTGCAGAGAATAATCAGAGATTTGCATGGTAAAACCACACACTCAATGTGATGTTTTGCATGTGAAGTGACATGTGGCCAAGTGGTGTTCCTTTATAGCATACAGTAATCAGTGCTCTGCATTTATCCCATCCAAAGTGCACACACACAGCAGTGAACACACACACCGTGAACACACACCCGGAGCAGTGGACAGCCATTTTTGCCGAGGCACCCGGGGAGCAGTTGGGGAAAAAACACACACACACAAGGTTTTCCCCTTTCCCCTTGAAACTGAGTGTGAACAATCGCTATAGCTATATGGGGGAAGTTGTGGCCTAATGGTTAGAGCGTCGGACTCGTAACCCAAAGGTTGCAGGTTCGAGTCTCGTACCGGCAGGGATTGTAGGTGGGGGGAGTGAATGTACAGCGCTCTCTCCCACCTTCAATACCACGACTGAGGTGCCCTTGAGCACTGAACCCCCAACTGCTCCCCGGGCTGCTGTGTGTGTGTTCACTGCTTTGTGTGTGCACTTTGGATGGGTTAAATGCAGAGCACTAATTCCGAGTATGGGTCAATAACACTAAGTGTTATTGCCATGTTGCCAGGCATGTTATTGCCATGTAGAGTGTTACTTGTAATCAATATTGATGAAATGTGATCAATTCATTTGATCTACACACTATTTTCACAACTGTCATTTGCAATTAATTGCGCACGGTCCCGCTGTCAGGGAAAACTTAAATTTGTGATTTCCAGACCTGGATAAGTCATTGAAATTAGGGCTGCACAATCAATCGAATTCTAATCGTGATTACAATTATGGATGCCACAATTACGTAATCGTTCAAAGTCCACGTTTTTTTCTTTCTACATGTTATCTTAAGGGTTATTCCCATTATTTTAATTTTAGTTTTAGTATAACATTATAATACCATTCATATTTTTACTTTTTTATAATTGAAAGAAGAAACCAATCCGATGTATAGTTGACATTTGAGGCTTAATACTATAGAAAAGCACTAAAAGTTTTTCAGTTAGAGTGTTTCCAGCTTGTTTATTTTCATAAAAAAAATACGGCATGCAGTTGCATCAAACAATGGTATAAACATCATTCAATGTAAATTGTGATAATCGTAATTAATAATCGCAATTACAATTTCAAGGGAATAATCGGCAATTATGATTTTTGTCATAATCGTGCAGAAATCTTAAAGGAGTCATATGATGCGATTTCAAGTTTTCCTTTCTCTTAGGAAGTGTTACAAGCTCTTGGTGCATAAAGAAGATCTGTAAAGTTGCAAAGACTAAAGTCTCAAATCCAAAGAGATATTCTTTATAAAAGTTAAGAGTCAGCCACACCTACCTAAAACGGCTCGTTCTAACACACCCCC